TTGACTTGTATTACTCGTATGATACTCGTACTCGTCAAAAGTGCTTTATCCGGCTCAACTCTAATAAGCAGTACAGATACGGCAATGGATGAATCTCAATACCAAGAATGCAAAGACTTTACTTGTGGTCTTGGCAAGACCAGTCTTGCAAACTTGCCTACCAAACATGGGGTGTGGTCTTGTTTGTCAAGAATGCAGCAGATGCATCCTTGATATTCGGTGTGGGGCAAGAATGACATATGGGCATTTTTACTGTTCTTGTGTTCTTAGTATTGGATCTGGTCTTCAGCAATGGAAGATGACATAAAACAGGTACCCGAGAACAAGTATGGTCAAGTATGCATATTGGGATTTACAGAGTGTCTCACTGATACAGCACTGAAAGCATATAACACACTTAACTGCAAAGATCTAGATCAGGGGTGTCAAACTCCAGTCCTGGGGGGCCGGAGCCCTGTGTAGCTTAGTTTTTTTCCCTATTCCACCACAAATGATTCAGCTCAAGAGCTATGCGGTAATTAGCACAAGGAGTTGCAACGAGTTGAATCAGGTGTGTTAAATGAGAGGAAACCCAAAAATGCGTAGGGCTCCAGCCATCCAGGATTGGAGTTTGACACCCCTGATCTAGATGCATAGATATACAAGCACAGACTGCAAAACACACAGCGGGTAGAGCTGAAATTCACTGTCAATCTAGGCCACGGAACACTGCTCACCTGAAAGCCTCCAGGCCACTGAAGATGCCACTTTCTGTGTTGGGGCTGGGGTCGCTGAGGAAGTCATTCAGCACCAGGCGGGCCAGTGACTTCTGGACCAGCTTGCAGTACGGGGAGTGGAAGATCATGTAGCCGAAGTCTTCCAGATCAAAACGCCGATCGATGCCCTCTATGGTAGATAGTGGAGGGGGACGGAACAACAACAAATATATTCACTCATAAATCTCTCCAAGACACAAGAATGTAGCCTTCTACCCATGAATCACTATGGCTCATAGAGCTGTAAATGGACCCCCCACCATCTATAAAATAATATAAATAAGAATGATAGCTTTCCTTCTACAGAACATGATTCTATTCATCATCAACCTGGTTCCCTTTCATAGCTGCCAGTCAGCCGGCAGTAGGATACCACCCACCTTTCTGCCACTGAGCGTGGATCTTGTTGCGGTACACAGTGTAGCACCTGTCCAGCGCGCTCAGGTAGCATTGGATGGACAGTTTGCCATCCACCACAGGGTACTCTGACACCATGTCCGGCTTGTAGAAGTCGTAGGCGTGCTGCATATGTGTCCCGCGCAGGCCTGCGGAACCAGAGCCGCGAGCACCGTTAGCAAACAGTCCCACAGTTACCCGCCTCAGTCAGCGACACGCGGCGACTGTGTACTTTCCAACGCAGAGAGTATTAGACAAACAGAACGCGGCAGCCCAGCCAAGGCCACCCTTTTAATACGCCAACAGCGTAACAAAAAGCTAATGGGGGAAAATACTGATCTGGCAGATAGCAGGCCAGTGTCTACAGATAAAAAAGCATCAGCTACCTGGGTCTGCGTGACTACCACAAACATGCCCCCTTACACACTATCCTGCTTTGTACTGCAGACCATCTAATACAATACACAGGATAAAGAGTCTAAACTCCGCTTCGTGTCTCGAGTCCTAACAACGGCACGTCCTCTGCAGAAAAGGGAACAGGCTGTTTCATCCGAAACAGAGAAACAGGAGGCGACGTATCGGAACCATCCTGCAGAGAAGACACCCACCTACCTCTGTCAAAGGCCAGAGGAGCGTTGGGGCCCACTAGCATAGCCACTGCCCCCGCGCCGCCCGTGGGCCTGGCGGATCCTGTGGCGTACACGGCGATGTCTCCCGCCACCACCAGGGCATAGCGACCTGCGTCAAAGTAACAACGGGAAGGAGTCGCTAAAACATCCCCAACAAACACAACTGCAATCAAGCAACGTAACATCAAACATAAAATGACAATCAGCAGATTTGCTCTTTTCACATTTATTTACCCATAATTACTAAAAATACTCAGGCCATTTTGGCCAAACACAGCACAAGTACAAGGACTAATGTCCACCTCAACGGCTTCTTCCCCAAAGACACTGCCCTCCTAAATCAGGACCCATGAGGACCATACTGGCACTGATGGGACCCTTTCATATCTAGTCACCCGCTTTTATGAATATCATACTCTTACTGACTTCATTAGTTTATCTGCATAGACGCCAAAGCTGTTTGCATCCTATATCTGACCGTCTTTATCTTTATATATGGTTATTTATTAATTGCACATTTTTATTTCTATCTGTATTTTGTTTTTTTTTGTACTTTTGCCTTGATTGTATGTTTAACTGTATACTTCATGTCACCAACTGTACCAAAACAAATAGTGAATAAAATGATTCTGATTACCCAGCCCATCAGCTGTTACCACATGCAAACAAAATTGGGACAGCAGGACTCTTACCATCCCAGGAGCTGGATTCCACCCAGTTGACGGCATTGAAAAGCGCCGCCGTGCCACCGTAGCAGGCGTTGGTGTTGTCCACGCCTTCCACGTCCGTGTTGCCCGACTCCTCGAACAGCTGCATGAGGACAGTCTTCACCGACTTGGACTTATCGATGATGGTCTCCGTGCCGACCTCCAGGCGGCCGATGCTGTTGTAGGACAGGCAGTTCTTCTCCATCAGCTGCTGCACCACCGTCAGACACAGTGAGTTGATGTCCTCCCGGTCTGAGCAGAAGCCCATGCGGGCCTGACCCAGGCCGACCGTGTACTTCCCTGCCGCCACGCCGTCATACTGCTCCAGCTCCTCCTGATCGATGTACTGCGCCGGGAAGTAGACCTCCAGGGCGATGATGCCAACATCCTTCGGCCAGGTGGCCTCACCGCTCGCAGGTACAGATCCGGGCATCTTGGCAGAACTGCAAGACAGAGAGCACCAATGAGACAGCGTGCCGCAAAGAACTTCAGCAGGGGTGAGACGCAACATGAGATAAACTTCACAGCTGTACTGATGGGGTAGGTTAGGAGCAGGGGGTTGTCCCTGTGGTGATTTTGTAAGCAACATTGTTTGAACAGGGGGCGTGCCCTGACGTCACTTAGGTTTAGCTATTCCCCATTACAGGGTATTTACCCACCGATGTAATTGCATAATCCGCTTTCCCCAGTTTATGCTACCTGTAGGTTTAAAGCGGTTCAAATTCCACGTAAAAAACACAGATTCAGCCAAAAAAAAAAACGCTACTTCCCAGAAACACGACACCTTTATGTACTCAAAGACCTCTTTGCGCAATACAGGAAAAGAACAAAAACAACTAGTGTCAATTAGACTTCGTTATTAGGGTAAAGGGCACGTAAATGAAATATGACCGGTGCCCTTTTACCTAGTTAAATCACGTGAAGATAACTACTGATGACATTTTGGTCACTTACGTACAAATATGCTACGTTTACAGATGTTTCGGCACCTGGAAAAATTGTTGTAGAAGGCAAATTACTGGAGGGTCTCCTCAAAAATCAGATATTACACATATATGATGTACTTATCTTCCGATTTATATACCGACCGTGAAATTCCGAGTAACTGTAAATTATCCGTGCACCGTGAATAAACTGACGTTACGATGCACGGGTTGACAGAAAGCATGCAATCAGCTATGTCTAAAGGCAAAAACACTTTAAGATGAACTACCCTCACAAAACCTCAGACTTCCTTGCTAGGTTTGGTCGTACCATCGCCCCACGTTTTCCCCATCTATGGCATTTAGTTGACAAGCCCTTCGAGCGACCACCGCCGCCAAGGGCGTATAAAATTCGTGTCCGATTTCGCCTTGTCACATTTCATACTTAAACTTCAGGTAAAGGTCTTCACAGCGCCTGTAACGTAACGGCTCAATTACCCTGATTACTCAGCGCAAGATGCCAATAACGACGGGAGCCTAGTTTAGACTGACACCAACCTGTCCGGAAAGATTATCGGTGCTCCACAGATCCCTTTATCCACACTACAAGGTGACACGCCGAGCCCAGGTTTTAATTTACAGCAGCACAGATGCGAGGCAAAACGGGTCAACAATAGCCCGGGCTTACCTTACAATCATAGGGTAAGTTAATAGGCGTGAGACGGAAACCTGTCCTTTGGAAAGATCATAAGGTCAGCCGGTTACGTTTCCACCCGGACCGACAAAGACTGGCGGACCGACTTCCGTCTGAGAGATCCGCGCGCCAACGTCTGGCGTCCGCGGCTCGCAGTGCGCTTAAAGCCACGTAATAGGATTAAAGAAACCGCACGGCTATCTCCAAAACGGACATTCTGTTATGATTATACAAACGGGAGCTGACTAGTGGCTATGCCGGCTACGTTTGTGGGTGTTGTGGTGTGGCTGTACAAAAATTAAACGGCGCCGCATCGCCGCACCGGTGTCTAGTGACCCATCGACACACGCTTGGTGACTCACAGTTATATTAACATAGGTTTCGAAATATTCAGTCTTTTATATTATAAACCACCTCTTAGAAACTTCCTGCATTTAATAAATACAGAAAGTAAGTTATATACAAGTACGTGTACTAAATATTAAATGTTACTTTGGGATGTATTAGAATTTTAAAAGTACATTTTGAATGTTCAGCCGCAACAATTGTTATCCTCCAAGTGCCAAGGTACTGACAGTCATTTGAAAGAATGACAACATCTACAAGTTGTTATATGCATACGTAGTAAATGTCACTTGTTTTTGTAGTTAGCAGTTTGCCAATCTAAAACAAATGATGTATAGCTAGGTACAATTACAGCTCGCTTGTTAGCCATCTTTCAACAGTTACAATGTCAACCCAAAGATACACTTTCGTTGTGTTCTATACAAGACCGGTTCAACATAAGTTATTCGTGTATCATAACACATCTTTATATTATGTAATCACTCACCGGAGACACAGACGATTTTTTTCTGACAGACCAGAAGTAGACTGCCTTTCTTATTACTATTTGTTGTATTTATACAGAGAGAACAGCAGCACGCGAAAAGGCGGATCACCGTCCAATCACGGCGAAATCTCGCCGTCCAGTCATTTAATGCCTACCTGCCCTTCGCAATACATCAGCCAATCGTCAACCCGGAAACAACTTCCCATCAGAGCGCGGTTCTGAGTGGCTGAATGGTGTGAGTAAGTGACGGTATATGGTGAGAGGACCAAGGCCAATCAGGGAAGACGTCCGACTCCTGGCGAGGTCGTCAGTGTAGTACAAGCTCGAATCCGTGAAGAAGCCGCCGATGGTCCCCCTGGCAACCACCGGCTGGCTATGAAAACGTAGCGTATAGGAGAGTAGGCATCTTATGGTGACCGTGAAGTTTTTTTTCCCCTCCTCGTTATTTTCACTTGACAATTAATTTATGTTCTCTAGACATGTAGACTAATAAAAATAAGTACATTTTGCCGCAGTATACTTTTTAATATTCAGTGTCTTATTGGTTATCAAGGTTCTCTCTCTCTCTCTCTCTCTCTCTCTCTCTCTCTCTATATATATATATATATATATATATATATATATATATATANTCTCTCTCTCTCTCTCTCTCTCTCTCTATATATATATATATATATATATATATATATATATATATATATATATATATATATATATATATATATATATATATATATAAATAACCTCTTAAATGGCCAGATTTCAAGTGTCCGTTTTAAATATGCTCTTTCATAGCTAAATGCTTCCCTCCATTTGCACCAATATATAGTACACCACTTTGTTTAATTCAAAACAATTCTAGCGGAAAAAGTTATTTAAACACCTGTACTGAAATTAATATAAGTGTTTTCATTTGTACTTATCCTTCTGAAGCAATGTTATATACAAACCAATTCTGATAGAGACAAAGCATATTTCCAGACTCAGAACTGATTATTTTGACTAATCGCCTATTTCTTAGTACTTAAATGAATTATTCTGCCTGACTGTTATTTAGAACAGGTCACCAATAGGCGGACATTTTTTTGGTTGCAGTGGCCATTGGATTTGTGTTGCTGGTGGAATTTGGCCCTAGGAGAAATAGTTGTGGACCCATGGTAGCATGTATTAATTAAGGTAGTCATAGTTATTAAAATGTCAGACTTTTGCAATAAATTTTTGGGTAAATCATTTTCTGGGTAATGAATGTGCTAGTTTGCCATTTCAGCTGATTTCTGTTCCTCCACAATAATAGGAAATGCACTTGCTCTGCAAGGGGAGAAGCTCAGTACGCCATCAGTTTATAGACAGAGAGCTCAAGCAGCAAAAGGACAGAAAGTACACAAATACAAACACAGTGTAAACTTAAGACTATATGCGAGACCATACACGATGACTGTGCAACGAAGTTATGCAAAAGGAGTAAATAAAATTGAAAGCGGTGTAGGTGTGATGTACAGTGGCACAGAAATATAGTGTGTTATTGTTATTTAAATGCTGTCCAGGCATGTATTATGGCTGAGATGTTGTAATGCAGAAAAGATCCCATGTAGGGCTCCTTAAAACACTGGCTTTGGGATGAGCTGGTTGCTGAAGGACACTATTGACTTATACTCTACTACGTCACTGTGATTTTGGGCTGGGTGGAGGCAGCTAGCAACTTCACCTTGGCATGGAGGCTGACGTATCTCCTCTGGCTCCACCCACAGGCAGGTGTGCAATCCAATGTTTCCTTCCAGGAACTACCTCAGTGGCCAAGGTGACATCACCCGTGGTTTGACCAGTACACGTCTGGGGCAAGTCAACTAAAACATGTCATTTTGCAAAGAGAGAGAGCCCCGCAACTATAACCCAAAGGGCCCGGCTAGCTGGTTCAGAACACACAGAATAACAATTCTCCATCAAAGAAAATCAATCCTGTCCCTGGTGTGTGTGTGTGGAACTCTGCTTATGTAGTGTGCATTTCATTTGGGTCCTACAGAAGCTGTTTGAAAAATGCATACGGAAACTCTGTGACATCCACTGTAAAAATACTGCCAGATACAGTCATGATTTCTCCACCCTTCTGTGTCTCCATTCATGTTAAGACAGGCAGTCTGGTGTGCATGTCATAAATTGGGGACACGTCAGTATTAACACATTGTATGTGTTGTTATATATTAAATATTCCTATAAAGACATAGATGTGTAGCGATATAATAACAAGGGCCCTATACGCACACATGCCTCCACAATAAAAGGTACAGGTGGCTTGGTCATTAGCAGTGCCATTGGCTAGCCTTTGGGGTACTTTCTAAGGAAACAAATTACATCATGACCACAACAAAGAACTCCTTGCTACATAATCTCTCCTACTGGCTGGATGAAAATTCATGTGTGTATAGATTTTGTCCAAAATGTGATGGGAAAAAAAGATAAGTAGCTCAAAGAAAGCAAGTTTTTTATTCCCAATTATTTTATTTATTAAAGACAAAACACCAAAACAAGTCCAAATTATGCTATAAAATGTTTCAAACTGGGTAAAACCTTTAATATTTAAAATATTTTGATATATCTAAAAGTATGGATACAGTTTAAGCCAATCTCATCTTTTAACCCAGAGATTTCATGAGTTTATTTGCACAATGAAGGTGCTAATGGAAGTTAGCCCTTAGCCCTGGAAATCTTTGAAAAGGAGAAAACAAATACAAATTACAAATAGAATATATATCAAGAAAGAGAACTTTGGTTGAAGAAAAACTCTATAGGACACCTGAGGTAGTAGAGACTGGAATAAAACAGCAAGACTTTCTTTACAAAAAAAAAAGTACCACCGAGTGAGACAGGAAATGACATAAAAGTTTTACACAATAATTTCAGTCCAGCTCCAATCTGAAAAGGAAATAAGATTACATCACATCCGCCTTTAACAAGGAGAAATAAAATGCATAACACAGACCTGTCAGCTTGCAAAGACACAGAAGGACAAGATGATTCTAAAGGCACTGACAGATCGGTAGGAATTACAGGTGCGACAGATTTACGTAATACTGATTAGATTTTATGAATCTGACAGAAATCGGATTTTTCCAGCATATAAAAAAAAAAGAGTGCATACGTTTAAAGCTCTTAAAAAAAGACATTAAAAGAAAGGTAAGAAAATTAACTCAAAGCAAGAACAAAAAAATGTATTTATGAAAAATGTGTGGTATAAAAATACAGGAGTCAAGTACAATAAAATTTAGCTACCAAACTTCACATTTATTTACATTTTTAACTCTTCAAGCTTTGTCACACTTGTACTCAACAGAGAAATAGAAATTTGCATTAAATAAAATCTCAATTTATTTTAAAATGTTCCTTTTGAAATTGTTGTAACATTAGCATTGACATGGGTCCAATTAATTCTGTAGGGATTTCAGATAAAGAGCGTAAAATCTCAATAAGCCTCATTATATGTTCAAGAAAACATGTTACATAGCTTAACTACTGTTTTTCATTCTCCCTCCAACTGCAATCCAGAACAACACTTGAAGAGTTACAGTTCTTAAAATAATCTGAACATGCTCTAAATATCTAATCCAGAGACAAGCTGATAAAAATAGTTTTGTTCTTTTCTTCTGCATCAAGAAAATAAAGTCTGTAGATCTTCTACGCGTCCACAAATTTGCAAGACATCCCCTCCACCAAAAAGGTGTTTTACAGCATTGTAAGATTAGAATGGTGGAAGAGATTTTAAAAACCTCAGATGTACATCATCCTTTTCTTTACTTAAAATATATATTTATATGTTCAAGATCATTCCTAAAGGAGTCAACGATTAAGCATTGCTATGTACGAAGGAACAGCACCAAAAGAAAATGGCAAACTGATTACAAAAGGTAGAAATATTTGTTCGGAAATGAAATATTACACTTGGTCATCTGAGGACTTATGAAACTTCTAAATAACATTTCTTTTAAGGTTCACAAGTCTCAAATGTAACAGTGTTAAGGAACCAGCAGGATGTTCGCTGTTCACCTGATGTCCAAACTGTCCCAGCAAAACTTTCTCTGGCACATTAAAAAGGTCTCAGACAAACAGAATCCCAGCAGAACCCAAAAAAGCAACACCTTCCCTATTTACACATATATGAAACATTTCTTGCAATATTTAAAAAAATGCCAGATACAAAAATCAAGACAACTCTTTGAAATGCCGATGCCGACCAGCGTTTCTTGCCTACAAAGCAAAGCTTCTGCTAAAATATCACCTTTCCCTGAAACATTTTGAAGATCTCTCAGATTAATTGGCCAAGTACAATGGCCTGACAGTAAAATGCACACATCAAGGCATCTATATATATATATATATATATATATGATATATATATATATGATATATATCATAAATATATATCATACATATATATCATATATATATATACACACACACGATATATATATATACACACACGATATATATATATATACACACACGATATATATATATATATATATATATATATATATATATATATATATATTGCATTTAACACTTATGATATACACAGAATCATCTAAAAAAATAATCATTTGACACCTGTGCTCTACATAACGGATTCTTACAGGTACGGATGCTAATACGCTTCTGAAATGCATGAAGGTGTGGCGACCTAAGCGATAAACCGGCTTACTCTGCTGTCAAAGATAAAAGAAACAGAGTATTTAAACCTTGTGGCTATAAAAATGACAACATAATGAATACATTTCACCATGGGGCTGCCAGTAACAGAACGGAACAGCCTATTTAAAGAAACAGGGTAATAATTAAAGCTGGTGAAGAAAGGACCCATAACACACGTCTAAAAAGGCACCATTTAGAAGGGAACAGAAACCAGCTCTTGGCACACTAAGGTACAGGGGGTTGTGGCCATCGTGGGCTAAGGTACAAGCATGGCATGCGAAGGTACGCTGGGCTCACAGTCCACAAGGGTACAGCAGGTGGCGCCATCCCGTCGGCCTTAGGGTACCTCCCTATGCTCACAGGCCAGCATCTAGTGCCTAGCTACCAGCAGGGGGTGAGCACTCGGGGCCGTCAGTAGTACTTGGACGCATGTCTTCTGGGGTGGCGGGATCAGACCCCACCCCCTACCAGTTCAGGCGGAAGACAGGGTGCTTCAAGAGGTCTCGCGACGCCGGCCGGTCAGCAGGCTGCAGCTCCAGGCAGCGCAAGGTGACGTCGCGTAGGCCGGGGGACAGGTGCGGCGGGATTGTCGGTGCCGTGGTGGCGCTCGCGATCTTTTGGGGGGGGTGACACAACATAAATTTAATAAATGGCAATGAATGTAAGAAAGCACATCCATCCATTCATCATTCACCCAGACTTCACCTGAGCCTGGAGCCTAGCATAGGAAGCACAGGACACAAGGCAGAGGACACCCTGCACGGACACAGGGCCATAGACACACACAGACACACAGAAAGCGCAGGGCGGAGATTTGAATTCCCCTGCAAAGTTCAGGAAAAGGACAAACAAAATCTGCAGAATGACCTGGGACAACATGACCAATATCGCACTGACCTGGGCTTGGCAGCAACGCCCCCCCACCCCACACTTGGATTCGCCAACCAGGCTCACCCACTGAGGCTGCTCTGCCAATCAAGGCCTCCCCACCCACCAAAGCTGTCCCGCCCACTGAGGCTGCTCTGCCTATCAAGGCTGCCCCACCTTGAATATGAGTGCCAGGTGGTTAGAGTGCTTCTCAGCATTCCAGGGCGGTTTGGCGCAGGACATCTCGATGATGGCGCAGCCCACACTCCACACGTCACAGCTGCGGCCGTACTGCTGCCCCCGCAACACCTGCGACAGAAAAACGGACCACAGTCGCATCATTAGAGACATTCATACGCTTAATGAAGTAATATTCAAACATCAGTACACACCTAAGAATTGTTGTGCAGGAATATAAAGGAACAGAAACACATTTCAACAAAAAATTTAATTTGTATTTCTAAATTGTTTATTTATAATCAGGAATATATTATGTATGAATTAAAAAGTGATTATTTTTATGCACATATTTCACTATAACTATCTGTATATGTGAGAGATCAAAACGATCGGTTTCCCGACTTGCGTGCGAAACCACGCACACGCTTTCGAGAGGCCAACATGACAAACTGGGGGCCCAGAGGGTCTGCGGCCCAGCGCACTGCCTCCTAATAAAACACCCGGCCGTCGGGGGGGGGGGGGGCCGCTCATTGTGTCTGTCACAATCACTTTTCAGCTGGGGTTATGGAGAAACCCAAATCCACTTCACCCGATTCCCCCCCAGACACGTGACTCTGAATGGCCTGCACAATAGCCGCAGGAGCCATTGAGATTGAAATCCCTCTAGCAGAGGACCGACTCGGCCTCTAAGGTAAACCAATGCGCAGTCGCTAATTTGCGGAAGGTCAATTTCCCCAAAGTTATATAGAGTTCTCGACTCACAGAAATAATCAATTTCACAAAACCTTACAGAAGCCACATTTACCTCCCATACAATTCAAGACACCTTATAGCCCAAAAACACAAGCCAAAAATATATGGGTAATACGTTTTCAATGATTGCCTTTGTAAAGTGACTTTGAGTATTTAGAAAAACGCTATATAAAATAAATGTATTATTATTAATAATAATAATACATATTTAATAAATGAAAAAATAAAGGTCAAATATATTTTCAGCGCATGTCGCCTTTTTTGCGTTACCGCTGTTGCAAACTCTATGCGTCTCGGGTATTTTTTTACACAAATCCAGATTTTAACGTTGATTTTACGCAAGAGCTGCCTGTACTGCTAAATCCACTGCTAGGGTGAAGTAAGCAGATGTGCTTTTAAGAGGATGTTCCACTCATATGCAGCCCAAGGCTCTGCAAGCGCTTTACTCCTGTCCTCAGTGAGCATTTACCTCGGGGGCCATGAAGGCGATGGTGCCCAGGAGTTGGCCTTGGAACTCTCCGGCACCCGTCCCCTTGGAGGCCATCCGGGCAGCCGCCCCAAAGTCGGCGATACGCAGTCTCTGGCCTGTGCTGTCGATCAGCAGGTTGGCACCTGTGGACCAGGGGGCGAAAAATGGCCATCAAACATGACAGGAGTTAGCTGAAATAGGTCACAAGGCCTACATAGCTGACAGAGCTGATGATGATGAAGAACATGGATGAAGGTGGAGGCTGCTGGCCGAGGCGGCTCACCTTTGATGTCCCTGTGGATGATCTGGTTCTCGTGGAGGTAGGCCAAGCCTCGCAGCAGCTGTTCGGTGTAGTTGACGATCACGCCCTCCTTGAAGGCCCCGTATTTGTTAAGCAGGTGGGAAACAGAACCCCCTGTGTGGAGCAGGACACATGTCACCGCAGGATCGGGGTGCCGTTTGACTTGGAGAATACTGTCTAATAACCAATTCGTCCCTCTGGCAAACACCCTGGACAGGACACCACTCCATCAATGGGTGCACATGTACAAACAGACCACCGGCAATTTAAAAACACTGATACACTTAAACACATCTTTGGATTGCTGGAGGAGACCTATTTGACGCAGGGAGACTCCACTTCAAAAATATTCACATAATTTGTGGTTTTCATTTCCCTGCATTCCTTGGTTGTTTTCGATGCACATTGTACTGCATTAATGTCACATTACAGCACAAAAATATTACACATAATGCGACCCAGGAATATCACAGAAAGGCAGCACAAAACATTTTCCTTCTTTGTAAACATGGGAAAAGGTAGCATGAATTAAAACATAACCTAGTTCAATATTTGACAGCACGATTTGTGCAGATAAGTGCCAGATAGCAGAGTTAAAGAACACGTGTCAAGCAGACTGTGCAGGGGGACAGCCCCAAGGACACAAGGTCGTGACCTCACCCGCCATCCACTCCACAAAGAGGTTGTAGTTGTTTTTCTCGCATGTCGCACCCAGCATGCGGATGATGTTGGGGTGGTTCAGGTGGCCCATCATGCGGATCTCCTCCCGTAGGGCCTCCACCACCTCCTCCTGCTCCGAGGACGTGTTGCGCACGTAGGTCACCTGGGAGACCAGGAGGTTTGGGTTGGCATTAATAACTGGTTTAACAAAATCACTCTGCTCATCTAATAGTCCTAGAACGTTCCGGAACCAAAATCAGGAGCCCTAGAACGGTGTTTCTCAAACTGGTCCTCAGGCACCCCCAGAATGGTCTGGCAGGGAGCTGAGAGGGAGCAAAAACGTGACCATTGGGGGGTTCCTGAAGACAGGGTGGAGAAACACTGGCCTACAGGACTTGCCTATGATGTGCAATAACAGACTAACCTCGATTGGCTAACACCTTTCAGATCAGGAAGCCCCTCCTTAGAGGACTAGTTCGCAGTTCGGGGGAGGTTCCCTACCTGCTTCACAGCCATCAGTGTTCCCGTGCCCACATCCTGGGCCTGGTAGCAGGATGAGAATGCTCCAAGGCCAATCTGCTGGCCCTTCAGCCATTCCGCTCCCTCTCTGTAGGGCTGTTTTGCTTTGGTGTGGCCAGGCAGAGTCTCTGGGGTCTGGGGAGGGCAAAAAGATGACCAGAAAAATAAATCAAACAAGACACGATGAAAAGAAGGATGGACAACCATCATAAAAGCTGTATTAGGGGATCCAGCTTCAGAAAAACTGGATGTGCTTTCATGTCAGCAAGAATTGGATTAGTAAGTGCTAAGCTAAGCTACAACACTGTCCCCCAGCACCTAACTGTGCTGACCACCAGAGGTCACCATCCACCAGGTGAGCACTAATTACGCTGACCACCAGGGGTCGCCACTCATTAGTTGAGTCAGCATCATCCTGCCACCCATCGATGATCCGGAGTAGGTGCACTTACATCCACCTGGATAATGATGACATCTTCCTCCTTGTCCACCTGCAGCTGGGGGATGGTGGGCAGAGCATCCTGCGAGGCAGACATGGCCATGACCATCGCCAGCGCCTCCTCCTCCTCCGCCTCCATCTTCTCCTTGCACTTCTGGTTCTGGCTCACGTCGTCGGCATAAGCATCTTCCTCCTCGCCGGCACCGGGCCGCCCCGGCGACAGCACGGCCACCTCCGAGCGGAAGGTGACTGTGCTCCCGGGGACGGCACCCTCAAGGAGGTCCTCCATGCTGGAGTTGAGCTCAACCGAGGCCTCCAGGCCCCGGCCGCTGTCCTCCACTGGGGTGAAGACGGTGTCCTCGCCGGGGATCAGCGGGGTGCCGCGGGCGTTTCCGGCATGGGCTGCATCTGCTAGATCCAGCTTCAGGTGGCCCCTGCCGAGCTGACCGAGTGTCGTGCCCCCCTCGACAGGAGGGGGGCGGGTGGGCTTTGGTCTATGGATCTGGCCAGAGGCAATGGGACGGGCCTGCGTGAAGACTGGAGCCGGCTTTTCGGGGTCCTTAGCGGTGCCGGGGCCCCTCGGGGGCGGAAACCTGCGCTGAGCTACAGGAGAGACGGCCTGCTTGGCGGGGATGAAGGCGTGAGGTTTGGCCTTGTCGGGGGTGGGGAGCGGGGGGGGGTGTGAGCCAGAGGGGGACAGGAAGGCCTGGGAGCAGTTGGCGCAAGGAGAAGAGGGGCCCTGGTTCAGCTGCCGACTCCTGGCTTGCACAGGCGGCTTGGTGCGTTCGGTGGACACTCCCAGGGTGGGCATCGCCAAGGTAACCCCCGCCAGCCTCTCAGCAACGTCCTCTGGCCCGCCAGGACACCCCCTGCTGGGCGTGCTGGGCTTCTTGCCGGGCAGCTGCACCGTGTGTGTAGGGGTGTTGTTCTCTGTGACGTCAGGGGAGTTGTGTGGCACGGAAGGTTCCGGCGGGCCTTCGACATGGGCCTCCTTGGCACCCAGATGGATGGCCTCCAGGATGTCCATCTCCTCGGCGATAGCCAGCAGGCGGCGGCGCATGCGAGCGTAGTGCGTTGAGCTGGTGGCGCTGAGCATGTCGAGCAGCTTGACGAAGACGTGGGGCACGCGAGCCACCATGCGGGCGGCGCTCAGGAAGACGCGGCGCGACAGCTTGCCCACCATGGAGTGCGAGTTATCGATGGACTGCAGGGCAAAGCTCAGCAGAGCCAGCAGCTTCTGGTACCTGCAAGGGGTCGAGGGCACATACCCGTAAGCCCTGGGAGCGGATATTCCGAACAAAAGATCATATCTGAAAACTAATGGCAGGTACAGGGGAGATTCTAGGGTTTTTTAAAGGTGGGAGCCACAAGAGGGGCCATGATTCCTAGAGAGGGGACCAACTTGGAGGGGTTTCTCCCCCTGGAGGGGTTTCTCCAGGGGCCAATCAGCTTTAAGATGGAACCAGTACCCATGTGGCTCTGGCCCTGGCTGTGTATTGTTTGTTTACTTGTCATATAATATTATTATTATTATTATTATTATTATTATTATTTGCCAGCAACATTAAGTGTATATGTATGTGATTTAAAAAAATCCTCAGAGCAGCAACAATACTTGGAAAACACACTGTCTAACCAATTTTTAACCTTTAATTTGTAGCCTGAAATACACTAAGTGATATAAATAAAACCAGTTTGTCCTTTAGGGCAACATTAATTTTCACAAAAATAAAATGTGTTTTTTATTCCTGAAGTGAATACTGCCTGCCTTGCAGCCTCTTCAGGCTGTCAGAGTACAGTGACCGTGACCCCTGCGGACGGGACGCACCTCTCTGCCAGGCTGTGGGAGTGCTGGGCGTCGCCGCCGGTGACTATGTGGGGGTAGAACTCGGCCGGGAACTCCAGCAGCAGGCGGTCTATGAGGCAGAGGCGGCCCAGCAGAGCCTGCCAGTTGCTGGCCTCCGTCTGGGGTCCCAGGATGCAGTTGAGGACGTAGTCGACCCCGCCGATGCCGATGGATCCTGGGGGAAGGGGGGGTGGGGGTGGGGGGGCCACAAATGCCATTTGTCTCCTGCGTAGAGAGACTCCGCACATGAGCGAACACGCACCGGGGGGGGTTACATACCAGCCTTCAGGATCTCCCTGCCCACTGCGAGCTCCCCCACCTGGCCCTTACAGAGCTCCAGCAGAGTGGATACAGACAGTTGGCTGGTGCGGCTGGAAAGAGGAAATGTACGGGGGGGGGGGCGTGAGCAGGCAGGGCTGGATCGTACACACGATGTGTGCTTTCCTACACAAGTACTGATAATGGGTAATACTGCTCTCCCGTTTGTCTTAAAACCGTAGCATCCTCTTCAGTCTCCTCTTCTTCTTGTAACTTTGGCCTGGTTTATATCTCACTATCAATACCATCATCCAGTACATGATGAATTTGCAAGCCTAACGTGCAATTACCTAGCCTACCACTAGATGGCAGCAGTAGGGCGTGCACAAGCCACACGGGACACGGGGCTACAAACGCACCTGTTGGCATCTGCACACTTCACCAGTATGGTCTCCACCACTGGCCGGAGCAGCTGCTGCAGGCGCGTCCGTTCCGACGGGGAGTGACAGGGGGTGTATACCAGCATGGCCCGTAGTGTTTTCTGGAGGGGGCCACAGACAGCGTTAAAGGCGGTGGTCCGGCAGACAGAGCGAGAACAGCCTGTGATAACAGCAGGAAGCAGCCATAGGAATGGCTGGCAAGGATCTCCAAGTGGTCTTCACTTCCCCTCTGGAAAGAAGAACATCCTGAGAATGCTTACACAGCAGCTTTAAATGCTGGAGCAGCACGGCCAGATGCTCGGGTGAACAACAGGCCAAACAGCTCAGAGCACTCCCCAACAGCAAACCGCCCTACACCTGAGAAGGCCAGGCCGGCACTCGCGCGGAATTGCGTGGAATGCCAAAATCTTAGACTTGCCACGTTCTGGTTCTGATAAATCCAAATCAGTAAGTCAGTCGGTCAGTCAAGTCTGCCTGAAGTGGGATTTAACTTCAATTGTCTTATTCAGAGGGAATAAATTACACACAAAACAAAACAAAAAAAATAAACAACAAAGAAAAATACCACGGAAAATGTCCACGGAAATAACTTCAGCTGAAGATCCCACCGCACCGCAGACAGGAGACCTCCTCAAAGCCATGATTAAACTCTAAGTCTTGCCCTCCCTTGAGCAGCTAATACCAGTGGTATTTTTAGCCCACGTATACCCCCCCCCAGTCACCCACCCTACCATTGTCTCCGTAGAAGAATACACCACTGGCCCATTGGTACGAAACATGCTGGAAAACTTGGAGCAGACAACATGTTTTCAGAAACTCTGCTTGCTGAATCAAATCCCGACGGGGTCTGAACACAGAAAAAATTATGCTGTTTTGCTCTTTGAAAGAGCAAAATAAGTCACAGATAAACATAATAGCAACAATAAAAATAATAAAAACCTCAGTCCTTTGTGTAGATCCCTGCTGTGCTGTGCACTTCCTGGTAGAAATGAACTTTAAAACTAAACCAGCAATCGACTGTTGACTTGAACTTTGGCCCGATTAAGACAAGTCTGTAGCTGGGTGCCAATCGAGCAGGCCTGTATTCAGTCAGTCCTCCAGGATAGGCCTTGTGGTTATGGGCTGAAACCCCATGTGACTCACATGGGACACCCACCTCTACAAGTCCACTTGGGGTCTTTGTGATCATGACTTATATATATATTTATACTTTTAATTTTGTACTTCAATGGCCAACAGCTTCCTGGATAATTCTTAATAAATTCTTTGGACCTGTTGGGTAACTGAAAATCTACAAGTAGGATAAATGCAATATAATTTTCTGCCCCTAAAGAAAGACAAAATAATTATACTTGTTATTCAGGGGAAAACCCCCCATTAGACCCAGAAACTGGTAGACCACATGTTGACAAGTTTGGTTTGGCTCGGGATAAATCGCAAGGAAAGACTGAACCGGTCGTTGCTCAACAAAGGTTCTGATTGGCCAGCGGCTGGTCAAACGGGCCCAGATGACAACGCACCGGTTTATAAACATGCCCTATCTGAAAAGTCTCCCCCCCCAGGAGGAGGAGGAGGAAAGTCTCAGGCGTATGGGTGGGGGCTTACCAGAGCGGCCACGTAGACCTTGTACACGGGGTCAGCACACACCATGGAGAGGACACTGCAGCAAGACTCCACCACCACGTCTCCCGATGCCTCGCACCCGCCTGCTGCCGACACCACCCCCCCGGGGCCAGCCCCCGGGCAGAAACGCTCCCCATTGGCCAGCAGGAGAGCTCCGCTGACATCGTGGGACAACCGACGCAGTGCCATCTCCCTGATGTTCCAGTTCCTGGAGAAGAGGCAGCCCACCAGCTCCATCCCGAACACCTGAGAAAATGCACATGTGTGGGTTTCTCAGCCAGGGACACACAGACGGGAAGATGGAGTCACACAGAGACATGAGGCTGAGGGAACTGAGGAGCCTCACCCTGATCCAGGGCTTAGCCAGCTCCTTGTAGCTCTGGGGGATCTGCTGGACTCCATAGTGGGGAAGCGTGAAGTCGCCCTCCTGTGTCTGAATCGGACTCTCGCTGGGGGCCACAGTCTGGCCCTGGGGATGAGTTCCGGCGTTTTCCACAGGGGAGGCCGGCTCATGGCTACAAGCAAAAACCACACGTGGTCACCGACTTCAAACGAAGCCCCCACTACAAAGGCTTGCTGTCGTCATCTTAGATTTCATCATCTGCTAAACAAACTTCTAGACTACAGAACAGCCGAAATTCCAATTCAACTTGGTGAGGCAACAGGACAGTTGCTAACCCTAAACACAGCCAGCAGTTGGGTTCGGAAGAGATGAGTTATATATATCATGATAAAAAGAAGTTATTAGTGATGTTTTTAACAAATTTTTTAATTTTTGCAGCTTTAAACAGGAAAATGCACGTTTAAGTAACAGCTCACCAAATACAGTATTAAAAATCATTATATTTGGTTATATAAATATTAGGGCTGTCGAAATTAACGGGATAACACGGATTGATCCATCATCATGATTAATCTGATTAAAAATTTTAACGCAATTAACCCATCTGCAGCGCAGAATGACTCAAAATCCCTGAAATGTCTGTCAACCCATTTCGGCCAGTTTTGGTGTGTTCCATTTGCCCTGGGAGCTCATATTCCGAGTCGGATTCCGAGTTTTGAAGCCGGAAGTGACGGCATGCGCGCTCCCGTTTCTCGGGGATCCGAGAAATATCTCGGAGCAGCACAGAGGATCCTGAGTTCAGAATCCAAGATGGCTGCGCCTTTTATCAACAGAAGGGCAAGTTGTAGTTTTATACTGTTTAAGCCAGGGGTGTCAAACTGCAGTCCTGGGGGGGCCGAGCCCTGTGTAGCTTAGTTCTTTCCCTGTTCCACCACAAATGATTCAGCTCAACAGCTACAGTATGTGGTAATTAGCACAAGAAGTTGAATCAGGTGTGTTAAACGAGGGGAAACCCAAAAATGTGCAGGGCTCCGGCCCCCCAGGACTGGAATCTGACACCTGTGGTTTAAGCACTACTTCTCATTTGTGGCTCATTAAATCGGTCGCACACACTATACCGTCCAACTTATCTGTGGACGTGTTGCTACGGAGTTTTATATGTAAAGCACTGCGCATAATGTGTTATCAACTGATATTGCTAACAATGGCAATTAACCGGGCTAGAACTGGATTTCATGATTAGTCGGATTATTTGTCAGATTTACGGTAGTTCAGGTCAATTGTAAGTGAAAGAAGATAAAGACCATTTAAACTGAGGTACCTTAAATACGACAAGTTGTCGGGCTAAGCAAAAAATCTTGCTTTTTGATATGGGTCCATGGTATTGCACTTCTGTGGCAGATGGAATGCATCCGACTCGTGTTCAAGATGTTCAATAAACATGTTAAGTGCATATATATTCCCCTTTTTTCTTGAGTCTGTTTGCTCATGCAAAATTAATTGTGATTAATATAGATTAAAAATTAATGATATTTAATCGTGATTAATCTAAATTAATCCACAGCAACCCTATGATTAATCTGATTTAAAAATTTTATCGTTTGACAGCACTAATAACTATTGAACTTTATAACTTTTGCTGATTAAAACACCCAGAAACAACAGGTGTGAATACATGCAATTAAGGGTGTGCTCCATTTGATCATGCGTGTGCAGACGTGCCCCTACACCAGCCGTCAATGGGGCATTCTTGATTTTGAGCCGCATTCACATCCTGAGGGATTATCAACAGTTAAGGTGACTCCTGGATATCATTTGAGACCAAGGCAGACGCACAGAACGAGGCCGAGTGCCTTGGTGTCCGGCTCCCGTAACCACACAGCCTGCTGATGGATTATGGGTAAGATGATGGATTCTGGGTAAGATGATGGATTATGGGTAAGCGAATACTCACAGTTTCACTCTGGACAATAAGCACCTTGGACAATGTATTCATTTTCCACTATTATTTTGTGGTGAATACCAACTATAGAACTATAGCACGTAAGCCTACTAAGTTGTTTTATACAACTATACACTATGACAACATTGGCTGCTGATGTTGAAACGTAGCAGGCCACAAAAGTAGAGATGGGTGGTAAGATCTATAAATCTTGCCACAATATCTACAGAGACACACTTCGAGGCTAAAGCAGATGGGATACCACTAAATAAAGTAGCAGTAGATGAGCAAATCAGTACAGCTCCCAACATCTGAATTAACTAGATGTGCAGTAAATTATGGAAATATTTAGTGTTATGTAAATGGGAATTTACATAACACTAGCCGTACTTCAGAAAGGAAAATCCAAAGTCATTCAATACTGATTTAAGAGAGTGAAAATCACTGGAAATCTCAAGTCTCTGGAGGATATCAACAGTAACAGAACAAGACAGACAGAGAGACCGACTCAGATTTCCAGCTGCTTCTGCATTCCTGTCTACTTCCAGTCATCCCATATACCAGCTGCCAGGGTAGTGGATGGGGTGGTCAGGATTTTAGGGGGAGGTCGTCTACATGAGTCTCACATGCTCATGTTCCCATGGACTTTTTGAGTCACGTCAGGCTGGTAGAACAAAGAGCTCCGTGTCGACCCACAGAGGCCATGTAGGAGTCACACGGCACCACAAGGAGCCGCCCCGGCCGGCAGAAAACGGGATGGGGCTCTCCAATGCCTCCGAAAACCCTGCCTTCCGAGGCTCGTCTGCCTCGTGGAGTGCCAGCTTGGAGTGGTCCCACATTTAGTGAAGCATGTGGCGTCAGAGGTCACAAAAGCATCACGCGGGTGGGGATGAAATAAACAACACAGACGTCATGGTTACCTGTAAAAGTCATGTGACTTCCACTTGGCCCTGCAGAGCGGACAGATGAGGGGTTCCTGGTTCCTCCTGCACTCCTCGGCCCCTGCAGAGAGGAGGAGACGCTCAGTAGGTTTCCGAGAGATGCTCCCCGATAGCCCATCGGAGAGGTGGGGGGTGAGGTTCAAGGCGTGCGAGCTGACGAATCAAACTTCCTCTGCGCTTTCATACGAAAGTGGAGAGGAAGGCGTCCTCAGCAGTACTGCGCTTTCACGGCCGACGTCCTCGCCTCCGAGTCGGCAGAATACAGATCAGCAGAGCGTAACAACAAAACTCAAAGTTACTCCCGCTTGCACATTTATATAAGCATGGAGGGATTCCGGCAATATCGCTGCTAACTCCTATTAAATGTGAGTATGTCCAATAACCTGACACGAGTACAAGCCAAAATCCAACACCGGCACAAGCCGGGAAAGGTAAGTGAAAGTGGCTGAATGATATGGGCGTCTTGGGATTACGGGCCACAGGTTGACCATGGCGAGTACTGAATCAGGTCGCCCTCTGCGGTGGAGCTCGTCCTGAGGACCGTGTTTATGTGGTGAAAAATACGACCCAGGGATTGGGTAGTGATAACGATGGATTAACATCATGGGAGATAAAGAAGTTGCAATTTAAAGCTCTTGGTCCCATACAACAATGAACAGGGTATATAAATGATTCAAGCGAAGGAAATCTAAAAGCCCCGGTCAAGAGACTCTGTAGTAACAATAAAGTGAAATTATTCATCGAGCTCTTCCGTAGCTCTAAGCTTACATAACACTGAGCCCTATTGTACGGCAAAGGCCAGCGAAGAATGCTAATGTCTTTGATCCGCAGCTCGGGAGAAATTTTTGGGGTAGCAGGGTCTTCCAGAAGCATTTTTTAGAAGTAATGAAGACAATGAAGACCTTATTTGGGTATACTACCATGTGGTTAGAGTGGGATCCAGTTACAGTTACAAACTCCTGATCTAGGGTACAAATTCTAAATCCATACTTTAAAAACGTGCATCCTATACTATACTCCACCTTACCACTCCACTATACTATACTCCCCTATACTATACTCCCTAATACTATAATCCCTAATACTATAATCCCTAATACTATACTATATTATTCAATTACACTTATATTTTCTTCTCAAACAAATCTTTAGCAGCCCTGTCTCATAATTGTTAGCTATTGTAGGCATTATAAACTCAAGTTGAGGCAGAGAGCATAGACAAGCTTGCAGCGCACCCCCCCAAACAGGGGCTAAGGACAAGCGAGAGCGGCCGGGACTCACAGATGGACATGCAGTGGTGGTGCAGCTTGTTCCTGCAGCCCTCCTCACAGACAGTCAGGCTTTCCTCGTCCAGCATGTCCAGCAGACAGATGGGACACATCTGCTCTTCCTCGTCCTTCATGCTGCCGGGTAGGAAACAGGGATGAAACCTTTCCAGAACGTTCTAGAACAGCACCTCTGACCATTAAACCACCACACTACTTTGCCTCAAAAACCTGAAAGACCAGAAGCTCCTTCTCAGCACTTCACTACATTAACTTCAAAACAAACGCCACTACAGCACAGGCTTTGGTCACCCTAAGCACACAACTCCGTTTGAGACTGCAGTTTTCTCCTCACTGTAGACCTGTGGTTCTAAACTGATTTAGCCTCAGGACCTACATTTTTAACTGGTCATTAAGTAATGACCCCAATTTAAAAAAAAAAAAAATAACGAAATTTTATTTCACAAAATTATACTGCAGTAATATAACAAGAACATACAGGACATAGTTCTTTCATAAACAGCCAAAAAAAACAACAGAAGAAAAAAGATCAAATTTTTTTTAACCACAACCCACTTTTGGGTCGCAACCCACGAGTTGTGAATGAGTGCTGTAGACTTAATTATATCACCTCAAGGCTGCAATGAAGCTCACAGGTCATACCTGTTCTCGTTGCTGGATGTCGAAGTGCTGGAGGCACAGGATGTGTGCGAGTTGGACATGCGGGAGACAAACTTCTGAATGGTGTTCCTCGAGGGGGCCTTGATCCGTGAGCTTCGGCGGTTGTGATACTTCTGGAACAAGCTCTCCACCTAGACACCATGTAAAGTGAACACACAGCAAGTCCCTGTAGCTCTGTGCTAATAACTGTTTCCTGTAGACAGGTGAGGCCTCACAAGCATGTTCAGGGCACCATCTCAGAGGACAAAACAAAATACGCTGGGTGGTGCTTTAAGAACCACGTGACCCCTACTTGACCTCACGCAACGAGGTCAAGTATTGACTCGCACCCTCAGATATCTTTTCGGCTTCACGGTGCGCCACCTTTGCCTGGACATTACCTCAAAGTTCTTCAGGGTCTTCCTCCAGAGAAGAGCGTCCGAGGGCTCCAGCTGGAAGACTCTCAGCATGACGAAAAGCACGTGGATGCAGAAGGTCCCCCTGCCACAGCTGCAGGTCTGCGGGGCGAGAAGGACGGCTTCAGAGTCGCAGAGTCGCGAATGTTCACCCCCGATGTGTTTTCACAGGATGCCGAGGGGACCTGACCTGGCCCTAGGCTAGGAGGAATTCCCCTCCAGTTCAGTTTCTTCTTAATTTGTCCTTCCCAGATTTCCCAAGACTAAATATTTACACAGGCGGATGAAACATGCTGACTACACCAACATCAAAGTGGAGTTAGCGGCTACTTTCATACTAAGCGGCTTTCTCCCAGACTATAGGCAGTAAACACACTGCAGGGGAAACACAGTTTGATAAACTTTCATCCCAGGCATTATTTCAACACCTCAGACACAGACAGCAGCAATACCTACACGTCCAAATACTAGCCTGCTAGGGTGTTAGCTAATTGGCTAGTAGTAGTGTGAAGTATGCAGAGGATACCATTAGGACAAAGGAAGCTGAAAAAAGCAGACGAGGTCATCAGGGAGACGCTCAGTAAGCTGAAGGAGGCCTCCTTCACCAAGGCTACTAAATAACGACCCCCGCCCACTCAAAAAAAATAAAAATAAAAAAAATACTTGAAGACAAAAGCCCAAACACCCTTAATAGCATAACCATCCCCACCTCTAATAACAGGCCGATGAAAAGCGGTTTCATCGCAAATAAATGACAGCGATTTTTTGAATTCCAATTGTTCTTACAAACACGCAGGGAGAGAAAAAAAACGGGGGCAGACAGTAACAGACATGGTTTCTTTTTAAAGCACGTTATTTTTAAACATTTGCGCTGCTCAGATGGGACAGCCAAAGTAAAGGCTACAAGCCTCAGGCGTCTAAAGTATTAGTGCACAGTGTAATGCTTATGTTTTTAAACCTAAAAAGATAATAAAAATGCTTCCCTTTTTCTCTTCAAAGCAAAACACATGCTCTTTAAAGCAAGATACAGTAGGAGAATGAAATGTGCCTCTTTAATAGCGATATGTATGTTGAAGATATCACAGCAGATGTGTTTATGATCCGTGTAATACAATATTTACCCCGACAACCTAAATATTTGGCAAGTTAAAACTGTTCCCCAAAAAAGTCTATTATTTTCTCTTCCTCAATATCGACTTTGTTTTCTTTTATCATGCTTTTGGTCACATTACTGAACACATGTTCCAAGTGTGTCTTGTGACTGAAAGGCAAAGCGCTACCTCTGGTTGGCCACAAATAAACAAAAAACAGATCTGGGAATAAAACCTTCAGTTATCGCATAAAGGCTGCCGTGAGCCACCAAACACAGTTATCCTGGCTTCCCTTCAGAAGAAGTGAGTGCCTGTAAACACACAAGAGGTTCTGTAAGCACAACTCCACCATCCATCATCTCCTTTACCTGTGGCCCAATGAAAACCCTGTATTTGTTGTCAGGGCTGTCTCCTCCAATCAGGAAGGAGTTGGGTCCTATCTGCTGCAGCAGGTAGAGGCGGGCCCTCATAACCTTGTTGACACGGCGATTGGTTTCCTCGGGACTGTAGGGCGAGAAACCGTCGGGGGAGGGCGCTCGCCTGGGAGGGGTCACCCGGCCACTCTGGAACTACACGGAAAACACACGCATGGCTGAAACGCCCAGACACACACACACGTGACTCTGCTGTGCTGGCCAATGGGGGTTAACCCATGGCCTCGCCTGTTTTGACTGAAGTTGCAGTGTTCATCAATCGCTTAGTTTTGTCATAAATTTTGCACAGCTTGAGCTTGACAAAGGGCCAATCAGATTGTTTCTTGACATGTAGTTGATGATAAGCATTAAAGAACATGAGACAATAGAAAAATTAGAGTATATTTCTCGGTGGGGAACACGTTCAAACGGTTTTAAATCAAGTGTTCGGATCCGTCGACGATCCAGTGGCCCGACCCAAGACTTGGTACTTACCGGCACCGGGGAGGCCCTCTTCCGACGCACGCCGGGTGACTCGGGTTTGCTGACAGACCGGCCCGAGGAAGAGGAAGCTGAGGATGAGAATGGTCCAGGTGACGGGCTCCTCCTTCCTCGAGATAGGGGCGATGTAGTCTGAGCATCAGGCCCTCCACCGTCGGCCCCCCGGCAGCCCGCCTCACTCCCATCAGGCCGCAGGGGGATGGGCTTCACGACCTGCCAGCAGGGGGGGGCGGGGGAGTCAGCTGAAAGTGTACTTTTCACCCCCCAGGAACCTCACTATTTAGGTTAAACTTTTTGTTTTGTTTTCAGCTAAATCCAGAAAATGTCTTTGCTGCAGGTGCAAAGGAGTTGACCAAACCATCTACTGAGGTTAAGAGAGAACCATCCAGGGCAATTAAAACCGCTAGCGGGACATATTTCATGTTGATCGGTTGAGGGCCTGGGGGGCCCCACAGGGGACTCACCACGGGGCCCCTGCGGCTCCGCCTCTCCAACCACTCGTGCTTCCAAGTGGGCATGCAGGTGGCCTTGAGTTTCTCGCGGATCATCCGCTCCTCCGGACGGTCCTCCATCTTCTGCAGGCCCCGTGGCGTGTCCTTGCTCTCCATGTCGCGACTGGCGTGGGGAGGGGGGATAAGTGGTGTTAGAGACCAGCGGTCTGTATCTGCCGCCCTTCCTCTTCAGTCCAACACAAACCCACACGGGACATGGAGTCCATGCTGCCAAGCACCACAGGAACAGTTTCTTACAAAAAGGCTCTGAAGTAACCAAGTTCTTGTGTGATTCGAAGCTACAGCATTCTGTTCTTTTACATTTACAGTACATTCTTCATTTATTTAGCAGATAGTTTATAAACTAACAACCCTTTTTAACCCTCTTTGAAAGCAGGATCAGACAGTCCTGGGAACAACTTGGGGGTTAAGGGCCTTGCTCATGGGCCCCATGGTGAAATCACCCAGGGATTTAAACCAACAACCTTCTCATCACAACCACAGCATCGTAGCCGTAGCCCCAACAGTGAAAACTACAGTCACTCAACGGTATTGCTAAGCGCTAATAACAAAAAAGCAACATGATGCCATCCTGAAAACCCGAACAAGCCGTGTGTGTGTGGACTGACTGACCCCGAATGGGCTCCTATCAACCAAAAAAACCCGAACAGGCCGTGTGTGTGTGGACTGACTGACGCCGAATGGGCTCCTATCAACCAAAAAAGAGCCATTCTGAGCACTGGGCTTCCGCAGCACCCAGTGGTGTGAAAGACCAAGCCAAACATTTAGAGAATCCGCCAATGTATTTTTACAGCAGAGCCCTTCCTTAAAGGACAGAGAAAACAGACCAAAGCACCCCCTACCCCCCCACCATTATTTAAAGGCAGCGGGGGGGAGGGGGGGGTATGGGACAGCCCAAACTGGAGGATGTTATGATAAGACGGCAGAGCAGTCAGGGAGCATTAGATTTACAGAGCCTCGCACAAAAACAGGGGCCCCTGACAGCTGCAACACCAGGGCTGGGCATGGTCTGGGGGGCCGACACAGAGATAGGCAGTTTCAGTAATGACACCTGGCACTTTCACAGGACTGCCTCAGGGGGAGCCTTAATAAAACTACTAAACACAGCGCCCCCTTGTGAAAGTATGACATCCTGCAAGTGTTGCACTTTCAGACTACTACAGAACCCACCTGAAAATTGTCCAAAACAAAAAACCACGCAAATAAAAATGTTTAATGTGTGTGCGTGTATGTATATATAAATTATGAATACAAGTCAGATCTGCAAATGTTTAGAGAGTTATCTTTTGTTTATTCAATTGACTTACATTTGAAGGAACCTAGTAGTCTAGTTTTGAATTCTCTGCGATACGCTATCTTGCTCTGGCCAATGTTTATCTGCACGAGAGGAGCTGACCCTGCACTGCAGGCGTGCCAAACGAAACCAGAATGGAGCCAAGAATTATTAACTAACACGTGATAACAGATCTGCTCAACACCAACCAGCATGTGGAGTTAAAAAAAAATGCTAAAGAAATAATAAGTGAACACAGATAACAGCAAGGGTTATTCCCAGATTTTCTTGCAGATAATGACTGATTGTTTGTCCTTCATGTAAAAAAAACAGTCACTACTACAGGAACATTGAACACAGCGTAGCTGAAAAACACAGGAATTATAAAACGACTTCTGACATGTAGTCGGCTAAATGTCTGTGTGAGCCAGCAATTCCGCAAGTTGCGCAATTATAGTTACAATAATGATCGATAAAAACCATAAAGATAATATCTGCAATCACAATAGATTTGTAACATTGACCTGTGGTTGCAAATTCAGATTAGCTGCCATTCATTGATAGTGTATGATAATGTCAAAATATGGCTTTATTAACCTTGTAAACGCTAAACACACACAAGCACCTTCAAGACTTAACAGATTGCAACACAAACAAAAAGTTAAATCTTAAAACCCATCTAAATTGAGAAAAAAAAAAACAACTTACAAGTGTGATTCTGAATCCATTACCCCGTCTGAACACGGACTGTAAATAGTGTCAGACCTGGTTACCCAAGAGATGCATGTTTCCGTAGGATACAGAGCAGCGCTAAACGAAAGAGATTAAAAACTCAATGTGACGATGCTTCCTGCTCACCAAAAACTAGAAGAAGATTTAAAGACACCACAACCAGGAAATGTGTCACACATACGTCTTAAAATATCTCAAAGAGCAACTCACAAAAGCCTTCTGATGAAAATGAAAAACCGCACAGGTTACTTCACATTTAACTGGCATTGCCACTGAAAGGCAACAATTTCATGTTTTGTCCATACTTTTGTGAAAAAAAAATGAAAATGGAGTTGTAGTGAGGACTGGAATCCAGAAGATAGGAGGGGAGTATCCTGACTTTTAGTGTAAGATGTCCTTTTTAAAAGGAAAATGCTTGTACTGCCAATACAAAAAATAAGTTGTGTAAATTTGACTCAAGACCTAATATAATTTGGAAACATTAATATCTCTAGGCAATGTTTTTTCCCGTAGGTGACCTTTTTATACAAAAACCCTCCTCAGTATAGCTATTGCAAGCATTGCGAGCAACATGGACAGAATAATTCAGTATTAATGCGTTTCCCCAACTCTTACACACCACAGAGAGTGTGGTCTTTAAAAGCAGACCATCATAAACACATAGCCTCACTTTGTGGAAAGTACATCAAGAAAAAGCTTGACTCATGGTTAAAATGTAAGAGAAAGCAAGGCTGTATTATTCTAACCAGGATTCCTTTGAAACTGCAAAAACATTTTGTGTCCCAGGCCAGGATAGAAAGGGGATGAGAGTTCAGCATGTCGACTTTGGGTGAAACAGAGAGGCAGTAACCTGGCTCTCGTGTGACAGCAATCCCACAGTTCTGCTGGCCGGGGAACAAAGAGGCATTGTGGGCCGTGCAGGTGGGATGCAAAAAGGCGCTGCAGTGGGAAATCTATTTCCAGCACCCACGTAAACTGAGACCGGACCCTCAGAGTGTGTGTGTCTCAGTCTGTAATTATTACATTGAGGGGACCAGATTTCCCGACAATGTGATTAGAAATCAGTAACTTTTTACCTGTGGGGACTTTTTCAGTCCCAACAAAAATAACCTAAATTTTTAACAAATCTGTGAAGTCAATCAAAACACTAAATGTGCCAAAAGTCTTGTATTAAGTTACTTATGGATGAGCTTAAGGCTGGGTAGGGGTTAAGGTGGGATAAAGGTTATGAATGGAAAGCCCCCATAAAAATATAAATATGTGGAGTATGAGTGTATGTGTGTGTGCGTGTGCATGAGAGAGAGAGAGAGAGAGAGAGACAGAGACAGAGTGTTCTATCAGGGACAGTGGGACCCGCACTCAAAGCACAATGGGGGCACCTGGCATTGTTGGGACAATTCCGTAGGATTAACGGACAACCACAAAAGACTGCAGAAAAAACCCATATAATCCTTAAGGAGTTAGAGCGTTGTGCAGACCATAAGAGGAGTGGTAGAAGGAACTTCTATGAGCAAAAGGCTACAAGTTCCATGAAGAGGAGCGTCTGTTTTGCAAACACAATGTATACAGCTCAGATGAAGCGAGGACTGAACTGTGAACGTCGCTTTGAAGAAAAGGGCAGTGAAGAGAACACCGGAGCCGCACCCAAACATGGCGACTGTACACAAACACAGCAACTGTAACCAAAGAGAGCAGGAACACAGGACTCAAAGCAGCGCTAGACTTGATCTCAGCTGTCGGTCCAGCAGTGAGCTTCAGACTCATAGCTGCACATCTGGGTTGAGGGTCACAGGTGGAGTCCGCTGTCTGGACTCCTTGCTGCGGACGATGTTGAGGTCTACAGCAGGAATTCTGTACCATAACCACCTCATAATATACATTAAAACGGCAGGACAGAGTCCAGACGGTCCCCCACAGGGACAATATACCATTTACATACAGGATGTCCTGCCTCTCGCAGATTAAACAGTTGACTTCTCACCCCCAGGATAGGAAGATGAATCCTGACAAATATCTCTGAAGCCACAGGCAGCAGCTGGTACAAGTTACATGCTCATCGTAATATTGCTCCACAGCTTCACAATGAACCAGTTAACGCGTCAGAAATAGAACCAAAAAGGTCATGCGGTGTTAAGTGGGGTGAGTGTGTGTCTGTGTGTGTGTGTGGGGGGGGGGGATTGAATGCCCAAGAGCAGTCCATGATCTCCTACTGCCCATTCATCTTTAGTGGACCCACGTTTCACGTCGTAACAATACTCATTTTCAGAGCGCTTTCCGGAACCCAGAGCGCCCCGATAACTGGGCTGGCTGGCGAAGCAGCACTGCATGGAAGTATTCAGGCCGGGCGGCAAAGGAAGGCGTGTTAGCGGCGATCCGGCACAGCTGAGCCAGGCTGGTTTGGGAAAAAGGGGGCGTGCAACTGAATGTTATCTTTGGCATCAGGTAACCATGGAGAAGTCTCTGTCTAGAGGGGGGCTGTGGGATGGGATCATGAGACACTTACAGTCCATCACAATCACTCACTTTTTTAAGGAACCCTGAGCTAGCAAACTGGTCATATTCTCAGAACATTGACATGGCTATGATAGCACATTTAGGTCAGTCACTTGCCTGATTTTGGAAAAATAAAATCAATAAAATCCCAGTCAAAATTACCCCCCAACCCCAAAAAAAACACAGGAACCCTCCCTAAGAGATATGTGATACTCTAAAGTCCAGACTTCCTCTTTCATGTGCACGTACAGCACAGTTACAAAAACAAACAGAAAAAAAGGTTCATGACAGGAAATGACTCGCAGCAGACATCCTGAGCGCAGGGAGGACGTCAGAGACCAGGACAAAGACGGCTGCCATTTTCGCTGCGTCTGTATCTCACACTGAATAAAACTGAAACCCTGAACAGCTCTGCACAGTTAAGTGTTTACTAAATTGTGTAACGTGCAAATGCAGTGCAGCACTATTGTATCAATTCTTTGTTGCTGGCAATTAAGAACACAGTGTATTGTGTGATTGTGTATGTGCACGGGTTTGTATGCATCACATGCGGACAAGACCTATTGCGGGGACTCGATATAAATGCTTCAATTTTAATTAAAAAA